GTTGCAACCCGGGGACACTGCAGTGTTTGTGAGAGGAGAGAGCTGTCTGCATCACTTCTCACAACCTGTGTGTGTGTGAGTAGAATTCATTTAATGCCAAGTGACGAGTCGGAATGAGAAAGTTAGCTTTCGCCACCAATCCAGGGACCAGGAGGATGGTCTCCTAGTCTCCGGGGACACCACTGCGTCTTTAAGGATGCAGGCTGCGGTACCAGAGGACATGGCTGGGGATCCTTGCTGAGACTCACTGATAGACTTAGCATGCTAAGAGGAGGTGAGTGTGGCTGTCCCGGGAGCTGAGGCCAGGCTGTGCACCCCCTCACTCTTCTTCAGAGACAGGGTACCACGGATGGAACCCTGTAGCCATTGCTGTCAGCTGGGCTTCTGTAGGTGGAATGTTGAGAAAATGATCAATGCAGGAGGAGGACCAGGCGTCATGCCTTTTGTCACCTCCTTCCTTCCTAGTTCACTTTTCCTTAATCTTTGTCTCTGGACTCACAGCCTTTCCCTAGGTTTCTGCTTCTTATAACTGAAGAGAACATGGCCCCCAGGAATAGGCAACCTTAAGAAAAACTAGTCAGGGCCACATCCAGATGCAGAGTGGAGCTTGGGGGGCCTGCACTGGTTGGCATGACCTTCAGCTCGGGACGGGTTAGTCACCCCCTAAAGATGCTCAGCTGTTTCCTCATTCTCACACTATCTATATGACCCATACTTAACCTCTTTGTGCCTCAATTTTCCCATCTGTGAAATGGGAGTGGTAACAGTATTCACTTGGTTGTTGTGAGGACTGAGTGAGTTATGTAAATTACTCTGAGTTGTGCCTGGTACAGAATAAATATTATATATAATTTTTTTATTATTACACATACTTTCTTCTTAAATGATCTGGATAGCATGTCTGCCTTTGCAATTATTGGAGATTATTTTGAGTTGATCATTTTATAAAACACATTAAAGCAATTATAGATATTTCCTGATGTTGTGTTAATGGTATTAGGGGTCACTGGTGTCTGTCCAATGGGCAAATAGTCTCAGGTGATTTTCAAGTTGATGGTTGAAAGACCACTATCCTGTCAGTCTGAAGAGTAAGGTACTGGTCTTGAGTCTTTCACCACTTAGCTGTGTGATCTTCGGCAAGCCACTGAACCTCTCTGAACTTCTGTTTTCTTACCTGTAAAGACTGTGCTGTTTGCCCTGCTTTCCCCCCGGGGTTGTTGTGAGGACGAAAGGAGGTGTCAGTGTTTTATAGGCTGTATGTACTAAACATGTGCATGGATTGTTATTATGAACTAGTAACAAAGGCCACCTTTGAAGCTTGTTATTCTTTAATGTCTCTCTTTCTGCTCACCCTTCATCAACCCAGTGCCATGAAGTATCCAGCCCAGTGTGAAGGCTGAGGGGCCAAATCCAGAGAGAGGGGGAATGAGAGGGACAGAGGAGAGCCAGCTTGGCCCCCTCACTAGGTACTGAGGACATCTTAGCTACCATGGCAGGCCCCCAATTCCTCCCAGACAGGCCAGGAGTCTCAAAACAGGAGCCAGGCCAAGAATGGTAGGAGATACCCAACCAAGATGGCAAGCTGCAGAAGGAAGGGAGAGGCCATGGGAAGAATCATCAAGCAGTGGTTGGAGGTTCTGGCTCTGGGTCATATAGTACTGGGTTCAAATCCTGGCTCCATCATAAGCCATCTGGGTGAGGCTGGGGAAGTTGCTGACCCTCTCCAAACCTCAGTTTCTTCGTCTTTAAAATGGAGAATTGTAACAATACCTACCTCCTTGAACTACCCTTGAGGATGAAATGACATACTTTATGTATTCACTATTGTAACAGTAATATCAAGTGAAGCTGAAGCTGTGAGCTCCTGGAGGGTGAAGGACCAGTTCTTAGTCATCTCTGTATCTCCAGCACCAAGCCCAGTCCCAGCACAAGCCAGTGCCCAATACCTGGTGTTGGAACAAAACTGAACAGGATAATGGAAGCCTGGGGTTATGGCAGAAAAGTGACCAACAGGAGAGGTGAAGGGCCTTGGATGTCTTGCCAAAAAGTTTGGGTGCCATGAAGCATTTTTAACGAGGGAGTGACATGACCTGATATGGTTTTAAGGGAGGCAGCTGTGGAGGCCTGTCAAGGGTGGGCCTGGAAGGGAGCAGAATGGAAGTCACAAGACCAAGGCAGCAGTCAGTACCACAGTGGGCCTGGAGAGGAAAGGCCAGCTTCTAGGAACATTTCAGCTGAATCCAGTTGGTGATCAGTTGGTCTCAGGAGAAGCAGGCCAGTCCGCATTGGAACGTCAAGTCGTTCCCAAGGCCGCATTCTGTTTCACGGAGCCCCCGGGGAGGAGAGGGAAGCGAACAAACACTGTTTCAGAAATGCACTCCCAGCTCTTGGCAGAGAATGTCAGTGGTTACCACGTGGGTCAGAGTGTGAGTGTCTCGGAGAAGAGGGAGCGGTGACCACATTTCCCAAGGTGGGTTTCCCAGGGAACTGAGGGAAGTGTCTGTGGCTCTACTACAGGCTGCTTGAAATGAGGGAGTTTTGCAGGATTTAGCAATAAAACGTCACCCTCTCCTGAGACACAGTAGTAAGATTTGATGGGTTGGGCTACAGCCCTAGACCATTAAAATCTGGCTAGAGGCTTCCAGTTACAATTCTCAGCTAAATCAGCTACTAAAGGAAGAGCTTCTGATCATATCAGGTTCTGATAGAATCCAGATGATAGAGATCCAGTTTCATCTTCAGATTTTGTTGAGTCACTGATGTCCTTTTCACCTGGCCTATGATATCGTAGGAAGGCAGACAACATTAACTAGTATTAATTGAGCACGTACTGTGTGCTAGGTCCTTAGCTAAATGCTGAACTTGAATTTACTCATCTAATCCACACTGCATCCCTTTGACGGTGGTTAAATATCGCTGTCACAGACATACACATTTGATCCTGCTCACACTATTATATTTTACAGGTGAGGAAACTGATGTGCTGAGAATTTCAGTAACTTACCCAAGGTCACCCAGCTCATATGTGGCAGAGCCAGGATTTGAACCCAGACTGTCTGTTTGTGGAGCTGTTGCTCTTAACCACCCCACTGTCCTGCCTGTGTGTCGTGCTGTGTTGGGGTGTAAAGCAGAATAGAGACACCCACAGGAATTGTTTAAACACACTTCTTGGTTTTTTATTACCCTGCTAATAAATGTCTGTTGGGTTTTGCTCACAGCTGCCCTATTCACTGGGGGTTCAGACATTGTGCAATAAAAGGCTTGCTAATTTCCACAGTAATAAATTATAGGAGAGCCGGCCTGCTGAAGGGAGAGGTCTGGATTAAAGAGTGATTCCATAAATTTCATTTTATTATTAATAATTGCACTGCCTCACATGTGGTGGCACCTTTCTTCCCCTCTGTTTTCAGATCTGTGATTCCCCTTTAATACTCGAGGGTGGTGGAGGGAAAGCAGATACGATTATCTTCATTCCTCCGGTGAGAAAATTGAGGTTCAGAGTTCAAGCAACTGGGCAAAGTCACACACCTGTTATTACACAGGATTTAAGGGATGACAGAATGTTCCTAGGTAGGAGAAGGCAGGACCTGCTTAACGTAGCAATTAAGAGTTTCTAATTAGCAGTATCCAGTGACTTAAAATGAGTGGCCCTAAATCCTTGAAAGAATTTGATCTCACACACGGATTTGCGTCTTGCTTACACTACTCATTTTTCTGAGTAAGTCTTCTCCAGAGATGGTTCTGAGGCTAGGCGACATTAACACAGATTCTGATCCTGAGGAGACAGAAATTATGGTGGAGAGTCAACTCTTGTTCATGGGAAAGCTAAGTATGGTCCCATCATGTGCACTTTCCCGCCTGTCTTCTCTTAAAGCTGCCATGAGCGTCACACTTTGCCAGAAACATGACGGCAAATCTGTTTCCTCTTTGCAGCCTGTGCAAGGCTTTGACTATGCCAAGCAGCACCTGGGCCAGCAAGGGGCCGACGAGGAGGTCATCCCCGTGACTCAGGAAACGGTGGTCCTCCCGCTGCCCATTAGAGATGCTCCTGCCTCTCAGGAAAGGGATGCCCCCCAGGACGGAAGCACCATCAAGACGGCCAAGTCCATCGAAACCAGAAAGAGGTAGGCACGGGGCCAGCGTCTGCCTCTCTGTGTCTGCATGAGAAATAATTGGTGGGGAGAGCAGCTGAAGCCCTCAAGTTAATTCCTCTGTTCTTTTTAAAAATTCCCCTTCATGCTTGTTTTGAATATTTGAAAAGGAAATGAAGGAAGAAGGTAAGAATCACAATCCCTGCTTCTCATGAGCCACCCTTTGTAAGGTTTCATGTGGCTGGTCAGCTACAATGGTAGAGGTTTAACTCTTACATTATTATAAAAATTTGACACTGATGTCACCCATATTTTTTAGTTTGTCTTTAAAGCAGTGCCTTTGATTCAGTATAATTGTATTTTATCTGACAATTTATAGAGCTTCTAATTTTAGTTCAAAAACCATTTACTGAGTTTTTACTATGAACAGAACACTTTGACAGGCATTGGGGAGGATGATAAAAAGGTTTTGAGATTGATTCCTGACCCTGAGCATCTCATGATGGGAAGGTAGAGAAATGAGTTGCTGGAATACCAAATATGATGGGCAGGTACCCACAGTGGAGTCTGAATGAAGTGCTAGGGAAAGAGAAGGAGGAAGCACTGGATTCTGATGAGGGACCACGTGTTGGAGGAGGTTCTGTTTCAGCCGAGCCTTGAAGGGTAAGTGGGATGTTGGTAGGTGGGAAGAGAGAAAGCCATGTAGTCTGGAAGAGCTGCGAGAGATACGGGACAGCCGTGCTCACTTAATGGGTGGGTGTCCCTGGAGTTTAGAGTTCATGGTGGTTGGGATGTAGTGAAGGATGAAACTGGAAGATGGATTAAGCTGTGGAGGGTGTTACCTGCCAGGCTAAGGAGTTTGACCTTTATTCTCTAGGCAATGGGAAGCCACCGAAAATTCTTCAGGAAGACAGTTATGTCCAGCCTGTATCTTAGAAAGACTACTCCAGTGGCAGTGTGAACGATAGATGGGAGAGTTTAGGTTAGAGGCCACGAGACTAGTTACAAGGACTTTGCAATCGCCTCACAAAGATGTAATGAACTCTATGGCGAGCCCTGTTGTCTGGCTGAACCAGCTCCCATTGCCAACCCCTTTCTCCTTTGCCTGGGACTGCAGTGGAGGCTGGAAAAGCTACATTCTCCTGGCTTCCTTCCCTCCCTTCACCTAATAGAGATGTATTGATTGTGTGCTGTTTACCAGGCATTGGGGATACTACAGTGAACAAGACGAAGTTTCTTCTCCTGTGGTACGTACAGTTTGGTGGGGAGAGACAGACAATAAGCAAACAGAGAACTAGATCTGTAGTAGGTCAGGTGGTGATGAGTGTGAAGAAGAAAACCAAAGCATGGAAAGGTGGAGAGGGGGAGATGGTGCTGTTTTAGCAGGAAGTTGGGGAAGGTCTCTCGGAGGAAGTGACTTGAGAAAGACCTGATTGAAATGACATGTAAGCCTTGAAGCTATCTAGGGCAAGAATGTTCCAAGCAGTTGGGGCAGTATGTGCAAAGCCCCGAGGAGGGAACTTCTTGACTTGCTTAAAGAGGAGCAAGAGGGCCAAAGAGGCTGATCTGAGCTGGGGAGGAAGCGGTAGCAGGTGAGTCAGAGAGGCTACCTGAGGTTGATCATGTCAGGCTTTGTGGACCACATCAGGACTCGGAGTTTTATTGTGAATAAAGATCAGGAGTCATTGGAGGGTTTTGAGAGGAACAGTGATGGGATGTGACTTGCAGTTTTAGGGGCTCTGTCTGGCTGCTGTGGGGAAAAGAGATTGTCAAGAAGCAGAGAGACCCACTAGAAGGCTATTGCAGGAGTTCAGGTGAGACACTGTGGTGTGAACCAGGGCATGGAGGTGTGAGAAGTGATTGAGTTCTAGAGATGTTTTGAAGGAAGAGCTGACAAAATTTACTGAGAGATCATTGTAAGGTATGGACACAGAGAGGGATGAATTTGCCAGGTACTGTGCTTGGGAAGACAGGAGAAGTTTGGAGGGGATGATCAAGAGCTTGGATGTGGGCATGTTAAGCTTGAGATGCCCATTGGACATGCAAGTGGAGATGCTGAGAGCTCAGTTAACCATATGCATCTGGAGTTCAGAGGAGAGGTCCAGAGCAGAAATATAAAGAGAGGCATTGTCAATGTTTAGTTATTTGAAAGCTGTGAGACCAGATGGGCACCTAGGAGAGTACAGACAGAGAAGAGAGCCAAGAACTGACCCTGGGACATCGCAATGCAGGTGATGAAGATGAATCAACAAGAGAGACTGAAAAGCATCAGGAAGAAAGGCAGGGGGGAGCAAAACAAGAGTGGGATCTGAGAAGCCAAGAGAAAGGAGTTGTTTAAGGAGGAAGGAAGGATTGTCTGTGTCAAATACACAAACTCTATATTGGAGTCAAGCAGCAAGACTCTGTGCTTTCTCCCAGGAGCTCTTGGTAGCTGAGAAAGAGGTGCAGAGAAGCAGAGAGCTGGGTTTCAGCTTGTGTGGGGAAGAATGTTGAGGCATCGTGGGTTAGTCATCTGTGGCTCCGTAACAAACCACTCCAGACAAAGCTCAGCAGCTCAAAACAACAACCATTTATTGAGCTCATGATTTTTGATGGGCCAGCAGTTTAGGCTGAGCTCAGCTGGGTGGTTCTTCTAGTCTGAGCTAGGCTTGGCTGATCTCAGCTGGGCTCATTCATGCATCTGTAGTCAGGTAGTGGGTCCACAGGGCTGGCTTGTTGATGACTGCCTTGTCTGGGGGTGGCCAGGTGACTAGAGCCTCCTGGCATCCTCCAGCAGGCTGGCCCTGGCTCTCTTACAGGGTGGTTACAGGGTTCCATGGCCAGCAAGCAAACAAGCCCCAAAGGCACAAGCACTTCTCAGCTCTCTGCTTGTGTCATGTCTAATTTGTCCTGTTGGCCAAACCAAGACACACAGTCAAGTCCAGAGTCATCATGGGAGGGGTCTGCCCTAAGCTTCATTACAGGGAGGTGTGAACAAATTGGGACCTTAACTGCAACAGTCTACCCCAGCATGGAGAGTTGAAATGTATAAAGAAGCGATGGATGACTTAACTGAGTTGACTGGCAAGTTGTATTATCTATAGTAATTATTCCCATTATGATCTTTGCCAAGTACAGTAAAGGCATGTTAATAACTTATTTATCACCTATTTAGAGGACACTGAAAAGAAAGAAATAGAATTAGTAAAATTAGGATATTAGCAGAGCATTGCACTGCCAGGAAGAATAGGAACTTTTCCACCCATTCAAGTTGAGTGGTTTAAAGTGTGCAGAGATTTCTTTTAAAAAATTGTTTTAGAGCAAGGTTTTCTTCTTGAATTAGCAAGGAGTGTACTCTTGCTAATCAAATTCAAATACTTAACCTCATATGTTTATTAAGAAATATTAGCTTGTGAAACAAGTGCAAATAAAGCCCTTTACCAAGGGCTGGCTATATCAGTGCAAAAGCTGTGGGAGAATCCTCACTCACCTCTGTTCAAGTCCAGCTGACCACAGGAGTCTCTGATCATTTGGGAAGATTCTAAGATGCCAAATCCAAGAGCAAACCCATCGTGCATCTATATTTCTGTCTTCCCCAACTGGTCACAACTGTTTTGTCACTGCTACTAGATCAGAATGCGTGACCTCTCAGAATGGGTCAGTTAGATGGTCCAAAAAGTCTTGAAAATGAGAAATAGGGGAAACCAATGTTTTGGTGGTCATTAAGATATATATTTAAAAATCGTTTTAAAACTGAAGGAAAATTGAAGATTCGGCCATTTGAAGACAACAAGACAAATGTTGCAAACCCTTTTCCTTCTGTAGATTCTTGGCGATGTTATTTTATTGGTCCATGACTGGGATTAGTGAGCAAGGCTGGAGAATCAGCCTCACAGGGACAGCCACTGGCAGTGGTTACTTCAGTGCAGTGATTGGTCATGATTGTTCAGTAATTGATTAATTCCTCACCCCCAAGATCGTTCTTCCAGAGTTCCTGTACACCCATATCCTCAGAATGGGGACTGCTGAGTTCAGTAGCCTTAAACTGCAACCTGTCAGGTGGCACTTTCAGAAACATTTTTTGTAACTGTCGTGAGTGGACAGACACACACACACACATCACACACTCTGTTTTTGATCAGAAGTTCTGAATTGACAGTTCTATGTAAAACATAAGTCTATAAGCTGATGCAAAGAATAAAGCAGAATTAGGTTTTTGCCCCTCCAGAAATGTGCTCATTCACACCTTTCCTTGGAGTGAGAGGAATAGCCAGAAAATTGTTTCAAAATCCAATGAGGGAAAGGGTGTGCAAATGCTCCAAAAACCGTTAACTATTTTGTGCATGTAAAATAAATTGCCTTTCCCTTTCTTTTCCTTCTGGACCTCAGTGAAAGCCTCTTTGTCCCAGTGAAGCCAGTTGGAAGAGTGTGGGCCATTAACTGTGAGATTCTGAAAACAATCCAAGGGCGTATGTCTTCTCTGTGTATGTGTTGTTTGCACACCCAGCACTCAGTGATCAAATAATTCGTGCCTCATGCATCCTTCATATTACTACATTTTTTTGTATTAGTGTTTTACGGTGAAAGAGATTGTGGCCAAACACACTGGGAAGTGCTAGATTAAACAAAACAGGTGAGTCTCTCTATGGCAGGACTGATCAGAGCCTTTGATATGCTAATGTGATGGAGGAGGATCCAGAGAAGGGGCACAGTAAACAGCGTCTCCCAGACTTAACGCTGGTCTGCGGATCCTTGGCTCCAGGGCTCCGTGGAACGTTCAAGGCCGACTCTGCCTCATCCCACCATTGTGAGCGGGCACCTTCACTGTGGTTTTTAGGGTGCTAGAGGGCACGAAAGTGTACAGGGCTGAGAATCCTGGATTCCCAGAGGGTGAAGACAGAGAGGAGGAGGAGGAAGAGGAGCACCCACAAGCACACACAGCTTCCATTTGAGAAGCTGTTTCCTTACGGGTCAAGTGCTGCATTTTATCCAAGTCAGTTTTCCATTGTAGGGGCCGGGCGCCATTAGGCTCTGAATTTGGACAGTTGACAATAGAAGAACAAGGGGTTTGGTGAGCCTCTGGATGGCTGCCTGCTGATTGGCTCCCGCAGAGGGGAAGGCAGTAGGTCTTTATGCTCAGCCCACCCCCAGGCTGGCCCGATTGGAGGGAGCATGAGCCCCAGCAGGGGTTCCCAAGAGCCCATTTTCCCACAGGTTCCAGAAGACCAAAGTCTGGCCCCGAGGGAAGGGGAGAAGGCCCTGTGTGAAGGCCTGCCTCACCCAGGGCCTTGCAGGAGACGGAAGGGGAGGGACCGTGGCCTGTGGTGAAAGCCCCTACCTGCAGGGGGAGCCCTGCTTCCAGGGCTGACTGGCCACTTCCAGCTCCGCTGTGGACAAAACACCTCACCTCCTGAGCTTCACGTTCCTCACTTGCTGACACGGGTGACAGTCACCACATCAGTGGGTTATCATAAGGATGCGTGAACAGTTTCAAAGCGCAGTCCTTAGCATACAGTTGGTGCTCCTGACAGAGAGCTTTTGGAGAACATGGGTGGCGTCTTGATATCTCTATATACCTTATAGCTGGCACAAAACCCGGTGCAGAGTAGGTGCACATGAAGTATTTCCTGAATGCATGAATAGCTCAAATTGGTACCAGTCAACACAGTTAAAGAACACGTGTGTATAAGCTTGCGTGTGTGTGTGTGCGAGATAGAGTGAAGAATTCAGTCGTGGAGTGACTTAATCTTTAGGGGTCAAGGTATATTCTGGAAAGAGACCAACCAAAGAGAACTGTGTTTTGTGCGTGGCCTTCAAGATGCCATGTGAATCAAACACTCTGCAGCACCACCCAAAGTGCTGTGTTTTACAAATGCCGTCACCACCGTTTCCACAGTCACTGGGGTTAATGAAAAAGAGACGGGAACAGAGGGCTGCACTCACTCAACTTCTCTGTGGAGCTGAGCACTGGTAAACGCACTTCAGAACAGCCGGCTGCTTGAACCATGCTGTAGTGTTGGCTTTGTCCACCCCCCCCCTTTTCCTGGATCATTTCTTCTTTGTAGATAAAACCGGAATGAAAAGCCACAGACATAAACTGTGCAAATAAAATAGCCTTGAGAGGAGGCTGCTCTAGTTGAAACTTACCATCTCCCTGTTGCTATGGTTACCTCCAGCAGGTCGCCCAGTGAGAATGGCTCTGTCATCAGCAACGAATCAGGGAAGCCCAGCTCGGGGAGGCGCTCGCCCCAGAATGTAATAGCACAGCAGAAAGTGACAAAGGAAGAGGCACGGAAGAGAAATGGTAAGAAGCCTTCGCTGCCAAGTACCACCCCCGAGCCCATTCCACATGCCCGCGAGCACACGCGTGCGCACACTAGTGCACCAGTGTGCTTTAACACCCCCACCCCCGTTCTTCTCTCTCTTGTGTCCCACAAAGCCCAGGAGTTTCCTACCTGCCCCTTGAGGTATCGCCTTACCCCCATCTCTGAATTACTCTGTTTCACTCTTTCTGCCCTCTCTTCTTATGGGATTGTGTAGGACCTTAGAAAAACCCTACACAGAATGAACTGATATTTGCTTAGAGATTTTTCTAATTTAGGGGGTGAATCACTTGATTTCTAGCGCCAGGTGCACTGGGGTGACAGTGTACGCTGCTTGTCTTGGAGATTTCCCCTCATTTCCTTGTGCTGACTCCCTTGGTAAGTTTCAGGGGTTCAGTCTATGCCAGGGAGTCCGGCTATTACAAATCCACCTCTCCCAGGAAAAACAAGACAGTAATAAATCTGTCATCGTAAAAATCAACCCATGCTTCTGTCTTTATTTTGGGGGCAGACTTAACCATTTGGTTTCTCTCTTGCACGGATCTTTTCCCTCCCTGTAATGGATTGGTGTTGGGGTTATTTGCAAGTCACTGAAGCTGCCTGCTTGTGCTGGCGCACGGTCTGTAGATTGCATCTGTCGGACGTCATTGTGCAGCCTCCCTCCTCCTGACTCCACTTTTGTTCTGAGCCTCATCTCCACTCCTTCTTTCTGTGTGTGATCCTGGCTTACTGGAGCCCAGATTCAAGTAACTGGTGTTGCCACTCAGATCAGGAAAAATTGCTTTTGGATTTCAAAGGGTTGTAGGTGGAGTCCTACAGAAATGCCAGGTGAGAAGGCAAACAGCCTTGCACTCTGGTTAGCTCTGCTTCCCTTTCAAAGGAGTTTGATGAAGTGTGGTTCAGGGACTCTCTCTTGAAGCTAGTACCAGAATTTTTTTGTTTTTGAATGTTACTTTATTTCTATTTTCTGACCAAAAAAAATGACACAGTGGATTTTTGATCCCTGTTCCCATTTCCATTAGATAAACCATTTGTTGAAACTGTCATACTGATTTCATTCTTAAATTTTTTCTTCTCCTGAATCCCCCATGCCCTGTAACACAGAGACTGTGCTTTCCACACCAGAATCAACGTGTGACATGTGCAGTTTTCCTGGAAAATCTGCCCTACCTGGGACCACTTGGCCCTCTGCCAACCCAGCTCACAGGGAGCTCTGGCTTGTAAAGGGAGAGGTGAACTTAGCAACTTTCTTCTCGTTCTTCTCGGAGTGAGATGCTAAGAGAGGTGGGAAGAGGGAGCTCAGTAACCCAGACAACGGACAGTGAAGCCACAGGGAAAGGTGGTTTCAACAAGCATAGTGACCGCCATCTCCCCTAACCGAGATGCCCCCCCCCACTCCCTCCTTACTCCTCCTTCCTTCCTATATATTCTTCCCAGAAATGTATAAAGTTAAGTCCAAGGCCACCCTCCCCTAGATGCCCCATCATCCACTCCGGTCCTCAGATGGCCTTGAGTAAACTCGGTGTTTTTCTTTCTCAGACCTTTTCACTATGAGTATGACAGCACACACATATCTTTGTTTTTTGTTGTATTGCTTTGTTTATTTTGTACAGTGGGATCGATGTACACACTGTTCCATACAGACTCGTCTGACAGTAAATACACTCACGAGATGATGCCTTTCTCCCTCCTCTGCATTTAATCTGTGAAAGCGGAGGGGGCGGGGCCAGTTGCAGACTCCCATCACTCCCCACCCTCCTGGGGAGATGCTGACTTGCTCTAAATGTTCCCACTGACCTTCCCTTTCTTGTTTTTCCACCCTCTCTGCCTGCCTCCTTATTCTGTTTAGGTCACTTTGATTATTTAAATATCAGGTTCAGAAATAGCAACAGCCAGATGCATGAATAAAATGCAATTACTATACCAGGTTGAGGTTTTCATGTGTTTGTTTTATTAAAAAGCCATCCTGTCTCCAAGTTTACAGTGCTTTGTTGTGTTTTATTTTTGCCAAAAGTAAACCCAGTGACTTTTCAGTTGGTCACTTCTCTTTCACTACTGGTTTCGCTTTGAAATGTTCAGGTAGAAACAACAGGACCAACTCCTTTAATGTAAAATTCAACAAATGCTGAAGCACATCAGAATTCGAGGACGGGCCTTCAGTGGAACCGACTCTTGTCCTTTTTCATCACAGGGCTCCACTTTATTATAACACTAGGTTAGAGTTCACCGAAAACATCAATAGTGTATTTTATGGGATTAGAAGATGATCAGAAGGAAGGAAGGAAGGAAGGAGGGAGGGAGAGAGGGAGGGAAGAAATAACATTGAATGGAATTGTGGAAAAACCAAAAGGTGTATTTCCATCACATTGTCAGCTTGCAAAAAGTGGCCTCTGAGAGTAGATTATTCCCTTGGTATGAAATAGTCAGATGCTGTTGTTTTATGGCTCAGTGTCCATCCTACAGGTTAGAGTCACTAGGATTAATTAATAAATGTTCATGTACCAGGCTGTCCTTCTAAAACTTTTCCTGTTTTTCACCAGGTATGTTGCACTTGTAGCTTCTAATTTTCCACTTTTTGGTGAAAATAAGAACTTCAAAAGGAAGATTCTATCCTATTAGCAACATGCTGGGTGTGGGGGGTGGGGATGGTGGTCCTTGTAGCTCATGGTCTCATTAGTTACCATAGCTGCAAGCAGCTTTAGAGTCTGTTTCAAGATGATGTTTAAATATAAGTAGGAAAGATAGATAGATGTGAGAGCTAGAATTTTTGAAAAACAAAACAATTTGGCATTTTCTCAGCTAAATCCAGACGCTTAGACTTGTGAACCAAAACTAATGTCACCTTAAAAAAAGTGTTTTCCAGGAAAGTCAAAAATGAGTTCCAGGTGTGAACATAATGTGTGTATTTATACATTCAGTCAGTTAGAAGAAAGACCCTCCATAAATCCTGAAGGGTGCACCTTCCTTTAAGACACTAAGATTTCGCAGCCAGGCTTCCGAATCTAATGAGACCGTGCCTCCCAGTTGTCATGGGGCAGATGGGGCAGGAGGAGGACTGGGAGGATGAATCAGTACTTTCTTAGCAGGGGCCCTTGAGGATTTGTGAGAGATATTAGCTCAAAAACAGTTTCCAAAAAACAAAACACTTTGTTTTTATTCTTTCTTTTCCTTCCCAGTGAGATGAAGACTTGCTTTTTATTTGATAAGCAACACCAGAAGACAGTGATTCTAGTCATAGATTATTTGTCTTTGAACTTTAATAAAGATTCCCCCCAAAAGAACATGTTTGGTTGGAGAGCATTTTCCACCTCAATTGGGAGGGTTCACCCCATGCCAATTCAAACGTGGAGGAATGACATCTCCCTTTCCAACCTGATTTATTGAAGTTGAAGCCAGCGACGCAAACAAAACACAAATGGATACGGGATAGATGCTTGGTGGCATTTACTTCTGATGATGTGGTGACGTTCTTGGGCATTTTCTCAGTTTCGCCGTGGCCCTTTTCTTTAGCACTCACTGTTGCACACTTTTTTCTTTAGGGACAAATTATGTTTTAAATATTCCCACGAACCTACTGTGCTCACATACCATTTTAATGTATTAATATTAAATGCAATGCCTTTTAATGTATTTTTCTATACAGTCTTTTTGAGGGGAAGATAACCATTTTTCTCATAAAGAAACCTAGAGGAATTACTGTGTAAATCTGAATATGACTTTTCTTGAGAGCGAGGATGGAAAAGAGCTTCAATTTGTACAGTTTCCAGGGTGTCCTTTTTCTGTTCAGTTATAAGTTATGCTTCCCCCATCCCACCCCTTGCCCTGTCTGCAGGATGGGGAGTGAGGGTGTTACAACCCAGAGCAATAAAAATGCTGAGTGTCATCTCTTCAACCTCTGAATGGTTTAGTGAAAGTGTGACTTTAACTTGTGCAAGTTTACTGGTTCTGTTGGTACTAACAATATCTCCCTTACCAAGTCAGGAAATTTTAGTCATTCCTTCATTCATTGATTTATTCCACAGATCTTACTGAGAGCCAGCTGCATGTGAGACATTGTTAAAGGCACCAGCCTCTAAAAAGCTGGGCAAGAATGGAGCTTACATTCTAGAGGCAGGAGCGGGGGCATTAAATCAATACAAGTCAATAGCAGTAAGTGTGATGAAGAGAATATAACAGAATGAAGAGGTGGGTTATCTTAGATGGGTGGACAAGGGAAGTCTTTTTTAAGCTGCAACTTGAAAAATAAGAGGGAACTAGGTATATAAAGATCTGGGGAAAGAACATTCTGAGCAGAGGGAATAGCAAATGCAGAATCCTGGAGGTGGGACCAAGCCTGCTGTGTTCAGGAAGGCCATTGTGGCTGGAGCAGAGTGGCTCAGGGGAGAGGCAGGAAATGAGCTCATCAAGGTGGCCAGGGCCACATGGTACAGGACCTTGTAGGTCGCAGTAAAGACTCTAGGTTTTATTCTGAGAGAGATGAAAGCTTCAAAGGGTTCTGATCAGAGGAATACTGGGATCTGGTTACCTTTTGAAAAGGTGATTCATCCTGGCTGCTGGTGGAGTATGTATTTTAGAGGTAGGAGGACAAGAGTGAAAGCTCAGAGGAGGAGGCTTGTTTAGGAGATGTATTAGTTACTTATCACTGCATAACAAATTACCCCAACACCTAGCAACCAAAAACAATGATCTAAATTTATTTTCTCACATGTCTGTGGGTCAGAAATTCAGGAGTGGCTTAGTTGGGTGGTTCTGGCTCAGAGTATCTCATGAGGTTGCAGTCAAGATGTTGGTCTGGGTGGGGTGTGGTCATCTAAAGGCCTGACCAGGTCTGCAGAACCTACCTACAAGATGGCTCACTCACATGGCTGTTGGCAGGAGCCTCAGTTTCTTGCCATGTGGACCTCTCCATGGGGCTGCTTGAGTGTTCTCATAATGTGGCAGCTGATTTTCCTTAGGGTAAGAAGTCATCTAAGAGAGAGCAGGTGGAAGTGACAATGCTTTTTTATAACCTAGCCTTGGAATCGATACATTGCCATTTCTGCAATTCTCTATTGGTTACACAGGTTAGTCCTATTCACTGTGGCCGTGAATATCAGGAGGCAAGAATTACTAGGTGCCATCTTGGAGGCTGGCTACCATAGATGGCTTTCACAGCAGTCATCCAGTGGAAGGTAATGACTAGCAAGCAAGAATTGCCCAGCAAAACTACACTCTAAAAAGATATGTGCATCTGGAAACACATCTGAATAGAGATTTTCCTCTGTCATTGGCTTTTTGGTGGCCTGCTATGTGCAAAGAAGTCCACAGAACCAAAAAAATACTCCAATTGTAACCCATGATTGGACTCTGAGGTGGTTTAGCCACATTGTAAAATAACAATTTACTTGGCTTAATTTGACAAATCTTCTGTGATGATGATAAGTGACAGAATGATACAAACTATGTGTTCCTCAATAATTTAAATGACATCCAATCTCTTGAGACAGAAGGAAAGATGAATACACTTCTATTACATTCATATTTTATATAACACTTATTTTGCTCCTAAATTGCCTGCTGGTTTGGTTGTCTGAACAGGCTTAATTTATCTCTTACCAAGCCAGGCTGAATAAACTGTCGTTCTTTTAGTTGCTTAACGGGAGTGTGCTTTAAGAACAAGGAAATCAGCAAGATACCGCGGGCCTGGCACTTCCTCTGTCAGCTTAGACGTGGAGGCACAAGGCAGACTGCTTCTTTCAGAAGTCACAGCAGAGTCACCCGTCAGAGGGGACAATTAATTTAACAGAGTGGAGGTGGGAGTCACTCTACTTAATTAGGGGAGTTGTCTGTAGCTTTAAATCAGTTTCTCGGGTGGCTGTTTCTTAGCCGCCTTTTGTTTTCAGACAAATGAAAAAAACCAAAGCCCTAATCGTTGGAGAAGCAGTCAGTCATTAAAAAGAAAAAAAAAGTTTCAGCTGCAATTACTGTGGCTGGTTGGGCAGGAAAGACTCATGGTGCGAACACCAGTGGCTTTGGTGGCAGAGACGGACCTGAATGCTGTTATTCTCGTGATTGGCATATTTTAGGAAGAGTTTCCAGGTTTGGCCAAATGGCACTTTCCCCATCTCCAACTCAAAGAGAACAAATTTACCTTTTTTTTTCCAAATGTATCTTGTCACAGTGTTGAAAGTGGTTTTTACGCTTTGAATTCAAACCAGTGGAGAGATGAATAGTTTAGATCTTAATGTAAGGGAAACCCATGCACGGCAGTGAGCCGTTGGCACAGAACCAGACGCCGCTGTTCCCGAGGTCATTTTGAGTAAAGTGATGTCCTTAGACTGTGAGCCTTGCATAAATCCGCCCCCCATGAGGGTGTAGCTCCCCAATACCAAAAAATCAATGTGTTTCTGTTGTGCTTCAGTGCCCGCAAGTGACGAAGAGGAAGGAGCAGTCCTCTTTGACAACTCTGGCAAGGCGGCCGCCGATCCCTTTGACACGTCTTCTGGGTCTGTGCAGCTCATCGGAATAAAGCCCACAGCCCTCCCCGTGGTGCACCCCACCTCGGACAGGAGCCAGGAGTCGGCGGTCCTCAACGGCGAGGTGAGCACCTGAGGGCTAGTGCGGGCTCAGGAGCAACACCTGGACGACTGGGTGCAGGTTGCATCCACGTGTGTGGGGCTCTGTGGGTCATTTTCACCTCTGCGTGCGCAGGTCTCAGCAGAAGGAATCAGGGCACAAGTCACCCAAAACCAGTTTGTCGGGTGATGATTTTGGAGCATGTTCTGCCTTCATTACAAAGCCCAGAGAGGACTTTTTAAAGACTAGTTATAAAGAGAAACACCAGAAATTCCACTTCCCCAACCCCTCACACACACAGGCCACTGCCTTCCTTGAGGACACTCCTAAACTGTTCATGATGGGATGTCAGCTACAGTGGAACCGGGAGGAACTTGAATTGACGGGAGAAGATACAGACAGGGATGTGGCCCACTATCTAGGCTTTTACTCCTTTGAGCAAGCTTGAAACAATCCTTTGTCTGCTTCTAGGAGGATATCAATGGATTTCCCGATGCTAATCAATTTTCCTAAGTCTGAAAAAAATTAGTAACCGGAGAAAAGATGATTTCACCAAAGAAAAATGGATGGATGGATGGATGGAGATAGATGGACAGATAGGTAGAAGCAGTTTAGGGGAGAGCAAGAGAGTAAGCTGGATAAAAATTATCTGCTCTTTCTTCATCATCTGCAGCAAAATGGTCCATGGGCTGAAGAGGTTTATGATCCTTTAAGAACATGCATATGGAACCTGCATGTGTATGCATATGTGCATATGCGTTCTTATGTTTTTCTGTGTGGTTAAGCTGTCAGGTTTGTTATTCATTTCATTTGTTTATACCCTGCTATGGTTACCGGCAACAGGTGGGAAATTTCCGAAGTTTCAAGGTCTCTTTCCCACCGCACCTCTAGGAACATGCCATGGCCCCATATAGCGAGGTATTTAAACGCACTTCAGTGGTGTGTCCACATCCCTCATCCAGGCCACATGTAAGAGCCGGTTACAGACGGATTTAGCAAGCTCCTCTGATTTTCTGTGCAGAACGACTGAGCTATCTAGAGGTGTGACGGGTTGAGGTTCATCGATTTTTGAAAAGAACTTAACTGGTTTTGGACTTAGAGAGCATTGCTATTCCAATCTCCTCATTTTTTTAGACAAAGAAACTAAAGCCAGAGGGTTCGAGTGGCTTGCTCAAAGTCACACCGTAGGGTATTGTCACACACAGTGTTCAGGCCCTCTGGCTCCCTGTCTAGTGCTCCCCCCTCTCTTTGACTCATTGTGGCCCATCAGTGAAAAAGAGTGTTGAGCTTGAAAGAGTATGGACTCTCCAGCCACACTGCAAGGATCTGAATCCCAGCTCTTCTACATACTATCTGTGTGGTCTTAAGCAGGTTAGTTTCTCTGTGCCTCAGTGTCTCCATCTGCCCAGTGGGAGTGCTGAGAGGATCAACTGTGTTAATATATCTAATATATGTAAAGACCTAGCATACAACATGTACATCATCATCGTTAGTCAGCCAGTGAGCAAGGATTCATTGGTCATGTACGTTATACCCTTTGGTCCTATAATTTGGGAAACTGTATCTTCTGAAAGCCAATCACAGCCACTGAATCTTTCCCTGGGCACAGTTCTGCCACACCAGACACACAAGCCCAGTGATTAGAGGCCTCTGAGGTTATCACTAAGGCACTAGGAACTACACTGGATTAAGGCCCTCTGTCCAGTGTGGCCCCAGGCGATGGCTGCCATGCCTGGATCCTTTCATCCCAACTTAGTAATGTGAATGTCATGGGGACAGATTCCAGCTCTGGGCTAAATCTAACTTACCACTCCCTTTTTCTGCCAGACCCATCAGCCTGTCACAGGAGAACAGAGGAGCATGTTTCCTGTCCAGAAATGGATACATGTTACATTTTGGTAGTTAAAGGAATAGACCTTGATGATACTTGGATTGGAAAAGAGCCCTGAACTGTTCTCTGTAATTTGCTGCCTTGTGGCATTTGAGAAAGATTGTCTTATAATTTTCCTTCTTCTTCTCTTATGGGCAGCTTGTTTAAGTGAAAAAAGGCATAGCTGCAAAGCCATAAATTTTCCTTTTATGAATTACAGGTAATTCTTTTAAAGATTACTTTAAAGAAAACAACATAATAACAGCATACAAAGTTCCCAAAATAAGAGAGAAAAATCACTGTAATCACTGTAATTTCACTACCCGAACATATCCTCCATTTTCATTTTTTTCCACCTTCTCTTCCAGCTTTTGAGCAAACTCGTGTATATTTTAGCATCTCATCATATACAGACAACTTTATATCTTGTATCTTAAGCATCTGCTGTATTGCTGTTGTCTTTCTGATGATCACTGTGAATGACTTGGTTGAGTTAGGTGTACCATTGATTGGGAAACTAATCTCTCGTTGTTCAAACCTTCCAGGCATTTTTTCTGTCTTTAGTTTTGGTTTGGTTTTGGTTATTATAAGTAACGCTACAGTGAATCATCTCATGCATGACTTTTAAAAACTTTTTATGTTGGGAATAATTTTAGATTTACAAAAGAGTTACCATGATAGCACAGACAATTCCTTTACCCAGCTAGCTCTTTACTTGGCTACCCCTAATGTTAACATCTTATGTAACCATAGAATAATGATCAAACCCAGAAGCTTAACATTAGTACAATGCCATTGACTAATGTGCAGACCTCATTTGAATTTCACCAGTTTTCTTACTATTGTCCTTTTTCTGTTCTGGAATGTAATACAAGACCCCACATGGCATTTAGTTGTCTGCTGAGTCCCCTCCAGTTTGGGAGAATTCCTCAGTCATTCTTTGTGACCATTTTGTCTTGCATGACCATTACGCTTTTGGAAATGCTGGCCGGTTACTATGGAGAACGTCCCTCAATTTAGATTTGTCTGATGTTTTCTTATGATGGGATTGAGATTATGCATTTTGGGCGTAACCACGGGAGTGATGTGCCCATCGTATCAGGAAGTCCTGGATACTGATATGTCTGATTACTAGCGATGCTGACTTTCATCTCTGGCTTTGAACTTCTCTTAGAATGTTGTCTTGGGAGAGATTCCAGAAATGGGATGCCATGCTAGCTTCTTCTCTTTACTAGTTTTCTCAGTGACAAAGCACATGAGGAAACAAAGACTTGGGAGATACTACTAGCCTAGAGACATCATCAGGATCCTGGCTGGGGAGATCTTTGCAATAGTTAGAAAAAAAATATGTCCCCCAGTTTATGTTTCTTCAAATGCAGTGAAAATAAGGCATCTAAAGATGCAGTACCCTTGGGTGAATTTGTTGCTAGAATGACCTAGCAGTGTGGATTGTCAAGACTGGAATCTCTACTTGCACATAGAAGCACGTCCCTGGCATTTGGGAGCTTATCTTAGAGGAATGGAATATAGTTACTCAGGCTCGTGCCTTCTGATAGCTGCGTGCATCCCCAGACGGGCTTTTATAAAACACCACACTCTCACCACAGTAGACACAGCTAATGCGTGGTATCTAATCCTCCCAGCTCCCAGGTTTTGATTTGCACTGTTATCACCTGCTTCTTGCCCCTTCCTCTTTCCCTCCTGAAAACAAGAACCAGAAAGAATGCAGCCAGATGACTCTCACGAGAGGAAGGAAAAGAGAAGTTCTAAGACTTCCGGGCAGCCTGTTGCCTGTCTGCCTTCCTTTGTACGCCCTGCTCCTGCCCCTACACCATCCCCCATGATTTTGGGCTTTGCTCAGCCCAAAGCTCTCCCACCCCCACCTGCCCCACTCCACCCAAGCCTGCTCACCTTAGTGCCCTGTGCTCCCAGAGTTGCTCGTGCCCCTTCCCCTTGTCTCTGTCAAGCTGCCTCTCCCTTAGTCTTAGATATAAAGGAACCCTGCACAACCCACATTAACAATAATAACATTTTAAAGCCATTCTCAGTGCCCGGCCATGTTGCAAGCATGCTGTGCAGGTGAACTCAGGCCATCCTCAGAGCAGCCCTAAGAGGGAGACCGAAAGACTCTGAGGCACAGAGACATTAAGTAATGTGCCCAGGGTCACACAGCTAGGGAAAGACAGAGCTGGGATTTAAACTCAGGAAGTTGGTTCTGGCTCCAGAACCTACACCCCTAACCACAGCTTTGTGCTGCTCCATCATTAAGATGTGAATGACTGAAAGCCAGAGAATTATCTTCCCACATGTGTTTTGCTTGTTAACCCAGTAATCTCTGGTAAACGTTTCATGAACGAGTGAAAGAGAGAGATTAACTTTAGGAGATTCTTCCCCTGTGTTAGACAAGTAAGTTTGGCTCAAGAGGGGACGTTGTGCCCATGCTTGCCCGTGACAGTGTGGGGAACCTGGGGGAGCAGAGGGTAGCGGCTCCCTCAGCAGAAGGGAACACTGCCCGGCCTTAGTTTTTGAAGTCTTGATGTTCTGGCAGATTTTAAGTTAATTACCGACATAGAAGAGACTTCAGAAGAAGAGCTTAATCAAGTATTGTCAGCAGCACGTACAGTGAGTCAGGGATTCATGGGCCCAATTGGCCAGAAGCCCAGCATTCCAGGCTGTGGGGCCTCCATACCTGGGGGACTTTCGAGTCCAGGAGGGACGCAAAGGGGTTAAGACAGCTGTACTGCCCCCGCCACCCCTCTGCCCTTGGCATTGGCTAGAGAAATGTGAAAGCTTCTTTGTGTCCTGGGAGTCTCAGGGAAGCCAGCTCTGCATCCAGCTGTGATGCACTGCCAGGTAACGACTGTCTTGGGCATCTTCCACTTGGAAAGACCCAGCTCTGGTAAGGCCAGGCCAACCCCAATCCCCAGCCACTCCCCTGGCCAGTCCAGGGGCTGAGATTTGGGACCCTCTTTACTCCTTTGTCCTCTCATTCTGAAGGGCAGTGTACTTAGCGGCTAACTGTGCAGACTCTGAACTTCATCCAGGGTCAAACCCTGGCCCCACCTCTGATTGTCTGTGGGACTTGAGAAAGTTCCTTAATCTCATCTGTAAAATGGAGAGTGAAATAACCTGCCCTGCGGGTTGTCGTGAAGGTTAAGAAGACTTCACACTCAGTGACTGCGCATCATGGACCCTGTAAGGGGAGCTCTCACTCTTACTTGCCAGCTCCGAGCTTTACTAACTTACCTTTTGGGGCCTCAGTTTCCTCACCTATCACGTGGAAGTCATCCCCAGACTCACCAGACTTTCCATGCTTGTCCCTTAAGATCACAGCTATAAAAATGCTCTCTACACGATACGTGATTATACAGATATATTCAAGTCTGATTATAGACAGCACTTGTGGTTCATCGTGTCACTCAGTGTCAGGCAGATTTCATCATTCAGCTCTGCTTGTGGGTGTAACATCCTTATCACTTGTTGTTTATTTAGCACAGTCATCTGTCTGTATCTTTGACAGGTGAGCAGGAACTGCTTGGCAGTGGTGGCCGTGCAAGCCTTCAAAATTACCTACCTTTCAAGAAAGCTATAGGTTGACAAAAATAAGCTCTTGAAAAAAGGGTGGGAGAGTGGGGAGACCTTGGGAGTAGGTTGTCTGCTCCCCCTTCCCACCCCCTTCATTCCAACTCAACCCCACCAGGAACTAGCTGTCTTATCCAGCTGGACACCAGCCAAATGGCCAGGGGAGGCCACTGGGCTCCTCAGGGCTGGAGCTAAAGTCAGGGCACCAAGTCTAGCTGGGCTGCCAAGTCAGAGTCTCCCACCCAGGGGAACCAAACGGGTTTAGGCATGAAATTAAGGCCCACACCACAAAGCTAAAAGTGCAGAGTCAGGCCTAGGCCTGCGTGGACTTGAGTAGATGGGCGAGGGGGCCTGGCGGGAGGTCTCAGCTGACTCAGGCAGGCGCCAGGCCCCACGCTGTTTGTGTCCCACTCTAAGGCGCTGGTCTTGGAACGGGACGCAGGTGCGTCTGGCTGGCTCAGTGGGCCAGAGGAGAAGCCCAGGATGGCTTTTCCTGGAGTTGTGACCCTCTGATGAAAGCTCTCCATCAGAGAGCTGGTCGGGTGTGGGCCTGAGACTGTCTGTCTCCCCAGGTGAACAAAGCCCTGAAGCAGAAATCGGACATTGAGCACTATCGGAACAAGCTGCGCCTCAAGGCCAAGAGGAAGGGGTACTACGACTTCCCCGCGGTGGAGGCGAGCAAGGCTCAGACGGAAAGGAAAAAGATGTACGAGAAAGCCCCAAAGGAAATCGAGCACGTTTTGGATCCAGACCCAGAACTCTGTGCCCCGTTCACTGAAGCTAAAAGCAGGTACAGCCTCTACGGGAGTCTCTCAAGGTCGCTGTGCTGTTGGTGGGTTGATGGCAGCGGGTGCCTTGGGCGATACGGTCCGGGTCTCCGGATCTGCTTGTTACCGTAGGACCGTCATCTCTGCGGGGTGCTGGTCCCGGCCGCGCTGACCTGCCATAAGCCTGGAAAAGAATAAAATTGAAGCCATTTAAAAAAAAAAAACTTCGTGGAAACAACCATATTTGTCCTTTAGCTTAATGACGTTTTCAAACCAGTGGCTGTTTCAGAGCTGAGTGAGGATAGGATTATCATCCAGCTGGTTAAGCAGCTTCCAGATCAAGGGACGTCGTATTTGCCGGTTATTTCAGTGGCTCCTGTGCGAGAAAAGCAAACTCCATGCCTCGCCTTTTCGTTCAGCTTCAGGGAGTCCTTCCTGCGTGGCCGCTCAGGCCTCCGTGCTGGGTTCCTCTCTCTCATTCACAGACTTGCTCATTCGTTTGACATTCGTTGCCAGCCACTGGTACTGGGCGCCATACGCAGTGCCGAATACCATCATGAATACCGTCACGTGTTCATTCGTTCAGCATGGTGGGCGGGACAGCCCAGTCACTGCTCTTGCGGAACTTAAGATCTGAGGGGAGAGAAAGGCCAGGACCACCCCAAAAGTTTGTGGCTCGCAAGTGCAAAGGGTGTTTGAAAGAGTCGAGAAAGGGGGCCTGGCCTTGCAAGGGAGGGCTAGGCCTGGGGGTTGGAATTGGCTTCCTTCCAGACTTTGTTGCTAACTCAGCAGAGAGTGCCTCACCTACTGGGAAGAGGGGTAGAGGTTAGCACAGCTAAACAGGCCCACCTCTCTTCTTTGCCCCCCTCCCCCACGTAAGCACTTCCTCAGACGCATTCTCATGGGTTGAGACCATCTCTCTCAAATACATATCTCCTTGGCAGCAGCTCGTTGGCTTTGACCCATCTCGTAGCTCTGGCAGATGTGCCCTCCACAGGCTGGGGCGGGGCGGGGGTGCAGACGGGACAGTTCCTGGCCTGGGTGAGTATTTATTAAAAGCCAAAATGACTGTGTGACAGGCTTGGATGGAAGCCACAAAATCAAGCTGGGAGGTGGGGATAAATTTTGTGACTGGAATGAGCATAATTTATTCTCAATAATGAAAAGAAGGAATGAATGCTCAACAAGGCTTCATGTGCCAGGCCTCTGTCTAGGCTTGGTGGGGATGACAGGCTTTTGATCTAAAATCACACAGTGACCATGATCACAAGCACGTGTCCCGTGTTGATAACTATCGAAAAAAAGAGAAGAAACTATGTGGATTTTATGCAGGGGGAGCTGGGGGCTTTAGCTTTTGCTTTGCGCTTTGAGACTTTTTGCTCCAGGGGTCTTTTGTAGACTGGAGTGCGGAGCTGTTTTTCCTGGGTTTCCTGCTGACTCTTGGAAAATGAATCAAAAATCATACACAAGTAAGAGGAACTTCGCTTGGAAATTATTTGAGAAATGAATGAAAATTTCAGTTAAGGTGTTTAATAAGGAGAATGAACAAAACTTTTTTTTTCCGGCGGGGGGGGGCCTCCCCACTGCCTGATAAGGTCGGGCCAGATTCTCAAGGCCCTTTGATGGTCTGCTGATGCTGTGAGTGTAGAGTCAGTTCTGAGTAAATGTCTGCTGAAGAAATGATCTGATGACCTTAAAGCACCAAAAATAATTTTTTTTGGACCAGTTAAGGGGAAAAGAAGGGATAACACAAGTCAGGTGAGGTGGGGGTAGGAAGGGAGATGGGGTCAGCAAGAGATGGAGACGGGGAGGGAAAGATTAACAGAGGAGAGTGACAGAGACTCAGGAAGCTCGGAGGCGCTATTCTTGTCACTCGGTGCAGTTGCCTCCAGGCCTTGTCTACTGCTGCCTACTGTGTGTTACCAGTCCTCACAGGGCAGAGTTACCTGTTAATTGCTCTTCACAGTTCAACTTTCTAGAGGTTCTGCTCTCAGTGACCCAGCCACTGCAAGGCACAAGCCCTGTGCAGGTGTGAGTGTGTCATGTGTGTACGCACACACGTGTGGAGATGGGGTACACCACTCCCCCCTTCAGCTCCAGCCCTGGTTTTCCTATCCACGCAGTTAGGGATTTAATTTAAAATCCTTCGGGGGTGGGGGGAGGGTATAGCTCATGCCTAACATGTACGAGGTCCTGCATCCATGAGGTCCTGGGTTCAATCCCTAGTACTCCCTCTAAAAAATAAATAAGTGAAACCTAATCACTTCTTCCCACCAAAAAAAAAAAAAAATCCTTATTTTGTAGGGCCATCTTCTTTGAATACACTGCTACAGTCTTCTAATAAAGGCTCATTTAACCACTCCCCCCAACCCAAAAACCAAACAAACAAACCCACAGGTCCCCTTAGTGGAGGGATGGGGGGCTCTATAGGCCAGCAGCATCCTTCTTACTGTGAGCATCCAACATGAGCTTCCCCACTAGAAGTGCCAGGTAGTTAATGTTCTCTGAGCAGCCGTAGTCAGTGATGGATGGGCACTGATGGATAAATACCCCTGGCAGGAGAACTCCACACTGTTGTAATAACCACGTTTTCTGGTTTCTGTATTTGATGATTTGACATCCGGGGCCTTGCCCTTGGTGAAACTGCCCATCCCAGGGCTGTCTAGCCAATTCCTAGAGATAGTAAAGGCTCCCCTGCAAGTGCCCCTGTCATACACAAACCAAACAAGCCAGAACCCAGCTGCCTGCTGCATACAGGGCTCTTGCACTCTGGGCCCCAACCCCTCCTGCCCAAATCACCCTGGCCAGGTACTGCTGCCAAGTGCAAGCTCGTACTGCCTCACTGCATGACAGGCCAATAAACTGAGAGACAAGTTGTTGGGGCAAGGAATAGTGACTTTATTTGGAAAGCCAGCAGACTGAGAAAATGGTGGACTAGTGTCCCAAAGAACCATCTTACTCAAGAATTGAGGCTGCTTTTGTACTAAAAGAGGAAGGGGTGTGGCTGGTTGTTGCAAACTTCTTGGTGCCAAATCCCTTTGTTCTTGCAGCTGCCCATGTAGGTCAAGTCATGATGTTCCTGTAAACCTCCAATAAGACAAATACTATTTTCTGTTCTGCAACTTTTTGTCTCTGTATGAATGGAAAGGTGTTATACCTTTAAAGGTCAGAGCCTTGAGAATGGGCTAGCCTACATCCTGTATGTTTCAGGCTGTAGGCAACATTCTAAACTTACAGTGAAAGCAATACAATACAAAGGTTAAAGGAAAAGAAACATCCAATATAGAGTCAGCTTTGTTCTTCCCTGTTACAGTACCAGACAAACAGGGACAGCTCCCATGCCCCCAGAGTCTGCCAAAATCATTCAAGCAAACTGCTCCTAAGCCTGCTTACCCTGCCTTGCCAGTTCTTTCCCGCGAAAACCACAATAAAGGCTCCTGCCCACGTTTTTTCCTCACTCCCTCTGCCTCGTGACTGACCCTGGTGCTTCCCATGTGGCCCTCCGTGGTGAGGCGTGCCCCTTCCTCTTGAGATTTGTGAGTATACGAGCTGTCTTTTCAATGGCAGTCATCTCCTGATCTGTAGATTTTTACCGTACGTGAATAATAATGAAAACTACATTTTAAAACAACTGTCTCCCACACTTCTGTAGTGAGTTTGAGCTCCAAGTGCCTGACACACTGATCTGCTCTGAATCACATCCTTTATTGGCCTCCTTCCCTTCCCTCTCTCATTTTCCCAGTTTCCAAGTTGTGCTTCCTGGAACCCTCTCCCAAATAGACCACTTCTACTTAAATCATCACAGAGCCAGCTTCTGGGGGAACCCAACCTAAGGCAATAACCTACAAAGACAGAGTTGCTCTGATAGAAGCAGTGTCTCCTCCTCCTCCTTCTCAGTGGCTCCAGTCTGTCTTTATGGAACCCCAGGCTTCCACAGAACACAGTTTGGGAACTACTTTCTTAAACTGTAGGGGTTAATTCCAAGATCCTAAAAAAAAAATTCAAATAAAATGTATCATTATCCTCCAGCAATATTTTCAGAGGTTGAAAAACTTACATTTCAAGTTTGCAAGTTTCCAAATTTGTTAACTTTTAAAGAGTATAGCAACATACCAACAGGAAATGAATACACCTAGTGGAACTCAATAATTAGATAAACTAAGTAACTTCTCTACCTGAATTCTCAATTTGTTTCTAGGCACACATCAGTGGTCTGGTCCATTTGGGATCCACGTTAAAGAGCAGACTTTAAACTGTATATAATAGAACATTGTCTTTGATGGAAAGGAGACTGGAGTGTATGCCAGTATCTAAGGTCTCGCCCACGTTCATGGTTCTTGAAAGGGCTTACACAGTCTCACTGTTGTATTTCTAATACTTCCAAAATAACCTACTTAAATGTCAGTTGCTAATCCTAGTATTTACTCCCCCACCACCCTTATTAGTAAATCTTTTCTAAATGGGCTAATTGGCAATCTCAAGACAGTTGTGAAGTCTGCTTTTTCAAAAAATGATTTGTATTTAGGTCAAGGGCAAGAATTCTTTGGGGTCTACCTCAAAGTGTGAATCACTCAGATTCTGTTTCACAGGATTGTGCTCCTTTCCTAAAGGAAGCCTTTAATTGCAGATAACCATAGGACACGGATTATAACATTAGGTGGTAAACTCCTGTATTAGTCAGGATTCTTTTGGTTGCAAATGATGGAAAATCAGCACAAATGGGTGAAATAAAAAGGGAATTTACCACTGAACAGATCAAAGCTTCAGACGTGGCTAGATCCCAGGGGTTCTACAAGGTCTTCCATGTTTATCTTGCTGTCTCTTCACTCTTTGCTGGCTCCTTTCAGGCAGGCTTTACCTCATAGTGGCAAACTGGCTGCCAGCCACTCCAGGCTGTCTCCTGTCTTCTTAGAAGCCTTAATGCCAAGACAATGCCTCTTTCCTGGTTGTTGTAGCAAAAGCCTTGAGACTTAGTCTCATTGAACCAACTCATGTACCTCCCCTTTGACCAATTGTTATGGCCGTGGGATTGTGATGCTATGATTGTCCAGCCTGAGGCACATGCCTGTCCCTAGAGGAAAACTAGCCCCAAAGAATATCATCGTCCACTTACCAAAAGAATTTTGTCCCAGGAGCCAGGCAAGCAAAGACCACAAATGCTCTTTAAACAGGTGTAGTGAGGGAGTGGGTCTAATAGTGTTTGTTTTCTTCCCTAGGCTAATTGCAAGGGTAGTGTTTTGCCTTGGGAGTTGTAATGTCCACTCTAGACTAACAGTGTGCGACTGTCATGCGATGGCTAACTGAGCGTGGGGTCATGAGAAGGTATCCGTACCTTCCAGGCTTCCCCACAGTCACCAGGAATAAATAATGCAACCTCTTCACCTTCAACCCATGAATGGGGAGAATCTTAGAATCGAGACACAAAATAGTGGTGCTTGGGGAGTTCCCTGAAGGCAGATGCTCTGAAATGCAAGTAATTTACCGAGGGAAACTTCTTGTTGGCTGAGAAGGAAGTAGTCAGTGATTTTATCCCACCTTTGTCACCCTGTGGGATCATGTGAAAGTCACTGCTCCTAAGAGCTGCCTCTTGTGCAAAAAGAAAAGCAGAGCCACAGCCCTCACAACCTCACAGCCTTCCCTCCTCAAAATATTCTTCTAATGTCAGTGGAAACAAGACAGTGCTGACAAATTCATGCATTCCCTAGGGGGAGCCGAGTAGAGCCTCTGAACATGCTACTTGCTCCCTGGGCCTGAAATGCACTGTGCCCAGATTGGCATGTGGCTGGCTCTATTTAGGTGTCTGCTGAAATGTCACCTCTCCAGAGAGGCCTTCCCTGACCATCCTGTCTAAAGTCATCCCCCATCCTAGTCACCATCTGTCACAGCTCCTCAGTTTTCTTCATAGCCCTGATCACTCTTGGAAATGATCGTGTGAATCGAGTGCCTCCCTCATTAGAATGTAAGCTCAGGAGAGCAGGGCCATGTCTGTCTTACTCACCGTGGTTCCTAGCCTCTTCCACAGTGCCTGATACACAGTAGCCACTCATTGGAAGATGGACGGATTGACTGGATGGGCCCCAGACTGCCTCTTGGTTTATGGCTCTTTAGCCCAGAAGGGACCCCACCGTGGTGAAGGCAGAAATGAAAATCTATCAACAGTTGTGTTTAAGAAGTTCATTAGCCATAGGGTTTATTAACACCTCATGGAAACCTGCATGTGAAATCAGAAAGATTAAAAGGAACAGGAGGCTGCTAAGTCAACAAAGTCAACGAAAGCAGGTTTGTTCTTTCAACGTTAGCTGTTCTAGAGGGTCAAGGGAGAGTCCCTGTCATCGCCATCAGCAGAATTTTAGATGAGGTTGCAGTATTGCAATTGATTATAGTTACCGAGTCTCCATACGAAAGAGCCTTTCCAATTCAGCCAAGTTGTTAAAGCATCTACAAAAAAAAAAAAAAATCTTTTTTCCACTCTTTCTGCAGCCCCGATGGCCAGGGAACAAATACCATCAATTCTGAGATTTGCGAGGCAAATCCAAACCCGTCATTGGTTGCCTGTAGTTTGGATCAGTGGAGAATTCCATCTGTCAAGGCATTTGCTGCATCATAACAGTTGTTGAATTTTCTTCAGGCAACAGATGAAGAACTCCGTCTACCGAAGCCGGCAATCTCTGAACAGCCCGAGTCCAGGGGAAACGGAGATGGACCTTCTGGTGACTCGGGAGCGACCCCGGCGTGGAATCCGAAACAGCGGATATGATGTGAGTCTCTGGTGGGCCGAGGTGAATACAAGCTTTGCTTTTCCCTGACAGCAAAGGGGATAAAAGCATCCCATAATGTTTCAGTTTGCTGTGTGTTTGTGGAATTTAAAAATGCACTAAAATGTTTTCTATTTTATTATTCCTTATTAGCTATTTTGCAAAGTAAGACTACTTTGAATGTGTCAGAGTAACAGATTATTGCTCAAAAGATCTCCATGTCTAAATTCAACCATTTCATGAATAGTACATTATTAACCTTAAACTCAACAGCAATTCTAAATGTCCTTAATTTTTTTTTTCCCCTTTGTCCTTAGAAACTCAGTAGGAACCATGACCGCGGGTTAGAAGTCATTTGAATATAGGCTTCTTTTAATCCGTAGGACTGTTGAGAGGTTGGACTTGTTCCTGATTTCATAACTCCTCAATATGCTGTGGAAACAATGAGATTTCCAACAGAGCAATTTGGTGATTTCACGTGATGAAGCACATGCTTCTGTGCAGTGATGCTCCAAGCTGCAAAAATGCTTCTAATCCCACCAAGCTTCCCCAGATGATGCTTCCTGTCAAGTTTTACATCCTGTCTCATGTCGCTGTCATGAGCTCACGTGGACGATACTATGCTGAGATGTTCAATTAGTGCTTCACTTGGCCCCAGGATTTCAAATAGTCTTAAATATACTCTTAGGTTTTATGAAAACGTTTCTTTCCCTTTCTCCTAAAATGGTTGTCTAATTACAAGTAAAATATTTTCTATAACAAGAGTTATGATTCAAATATGTCCAGATAGAATTTTGTTACAATTTATGAGGTTGTAATTGGGAAGTGACTCTTGATTTCTTAAATATATGGTGCTGATTTAAAGGCCAGAAGCTATTTTCCCTCTAGGGATTGGTCATTGTCACAAAAGCTTACAGTGGCATTTTTAAATGGTTCAACTGAAAACAGAGTATTATACTTAATTTGAATTTCTAATTACCTCCCTTACATTTAAAAGCTTTGTGTTGGTGGTGATACGCTTATCTTTTCTTTCTTTTTCATTTTTCATAGAAAACAGTTTGATACTTTAGTTTTATAAAATTCCAGATGCTTTGGGCAAGTCTTTTTTTTTCCTCCTCCAGATTAAATTATTCAACGTTAAGTTTTCTCCTCATACAAATATGTCTTATACCAAATGTGGTCATCAGTTCAATCATCAGCTTGCAGTTAGAAATAGGGCACTTGAAGTTTCCAATTAATCTTTCCCTGCCCACAGTGAATATTTTTCCTGGGTGCTTGTAGTTTAGGGAACTTTTTCTTCTGCTTGGGAATATTCTGCTGAGGTTTAAGAGGATTCTTAATTTATTTTAAGATTTGTATTAATGGATTTCTCATGAGGTTCTAGACAGACATTTTCACAGTTTGAGGAAATAGGCCAGAGGTTTCCCTGTTAGTCTTTTGTTTTGTTTTTGTTGTTGTTGTTGGTTGGTTGGTTATCTGAGGGGGTAATTAGGTTTATTTATTTATTTTAGTGGAGATACTGGGGATTGAACCCAGGACCTCACACATGCTAAGCCCATGCTCTACCACTGAGCTATATACCCTCCCCACTAATAGTCTTGAAAAGAGAATGTTACAGTTTGGGTTTTTTTTTTTCTTTCTTTCTTTCCTTTTTACCACTGTGCCGTGACTGGAAGTACTCACTTAATAATTTTGGAAAGTTGTGTTAGGGCAGAAGAAGAGAGATGATTTTTTTTAAAGTAGGTTGCTCACCCCGTCACAAACATGTATAAATACTTCAATTACAATTACGTTGAGGGAAACCCACTTCATCCAAATAGATTTTCTAAATATATGTTTCTTTGGAAAGTGCATGTGATCACAAAATGTAAGCAAATATAAATTTCCTTAAGAGAAAGTGACCGTCTAGGGAGCAGTTTTAAGAATTTAGAGTGTTGATACTAAGAACGATCTTGCTTCCTCTATCTCCTCCTGTGCCTTTTAATCCTGTGAAAAGTACTAGCTGTCATTTACCGACTGTGCACTCTAGACCAGTCCCTGGTCCAGTCTGTGCATGTGTGCTATCTGACTGAATATGCACAGTCACCAGTCAGGTAGCTACTCTCATTATGCCTGTTGTATAGGTGAGGAAAGCAAGGCTCTGAGCAGTTACATAATTTGTTTACCCAAGTCCAGAGCCCAGCCCCTTAACCACCATGCACCCACCACCCTGTACACCTGTCTTCTCATGACACAATGTATGTCCTGTATTTCTGATCTTTCCAAGATGTCAGGTCTCACAAGAATGCTTGCATGGATAACTCACACAAGCAAAAAGTGAACCAGCAGATAAAGCAGAAAAAGAAGAGTATAGTTTTAAACAGTGTATGCATTCACTTTCTGAATCTTGATTTTCCAATACTGCCGAGGCACTCCTGGCAAAAGAATCCATTAGCTCAGCAGTGAACAGGTCATTCAGCTGGAAGCATGTCATACTTCCTACTGGGTTTAGGGATCTTGAAGCCTGGACAACATTTTCTAGTCTTTTCTGCCAGATTAGGGAGCACCAAAGGGACTGGCTTCTTGACATGGTAGAAACAAGAGCACCGGGAGATAGATTTACGTGTGAATTTTTCAAAGGTTGCTGGCTTTAGAGCCCCAGAGGAAACGCCCACATATAAAAATAAATGAATAAGTCAACAAACAAGCCAACAAACATACGCTCCACGGGCAAGTCACAGCCCCAGGACTGACGGCTGCTTGGATTGTTTCAGAATTTTTCCACGGAGCAGGGGGTATAAGAGCCTGCGGAAGAG